CAGCCAGCTCTGGGAGGAATGCTCCTCCAGCCCCATGGTGTGGGGTGGGCTGTGCTGGCACATGTGTGGTTAGCAGAGCAAGGACAGTGCTGCTGGCACATCCTAAAGAGACACTGGTGGCACACACGTGCTCGGGCAGCGTCACGGTGTCCAGAGAGGTGGAGGGACCTCACCTCGAAGGGCTCTCAGCCGCTCCATCACAGCAGGATGTTTCCAGATAGACACAAAGCTCTCTCTGGGTTCACTTCCTGCACGTCCCACAAGCGGACTGAGCCACCGCTCCCACTGCTGCCACAGGGGTGAAAGCAACAACTGTGACATCACAGCAAGGAGTGCCACCTCACAGAGAATGATATGCCCAGGGCTGGGGACCAGGCAACATCCATGGCAACTTTGCTGGCCCCAAAACGCAGCATGGTTTTGTGATGCACTCATCTCTGGGGTTCTGGTTCCGTACTGAAGCAGGGAATCACCTCAGCAGATGAGGAAGTGTCCTGGCCAGTGAGCAGCTGCCGGGCACCGTTGCTTGGTACTGTCTTAGTGATTGGGGACTCCATGCCAGGAGGACAGAGGCCCCCATCAGCTACCCAAACAACCTAGCTAGAGAGCTTTGCTGTCTTCCAGGAGCACGTGTCAGAGACAATAAGGAGACTCCACCGCATCAGAGCAAACAAAAAGACCACTATCCACTTGTTGTCATTCAAGTAGGGAGGCTGCCACGAGTGTCGTGGTTTTGTGATTTTTGGTTTTCAGTATTCCATATCATAACATCATGTAACGCACTGGGAGTCAAAGTGTTAATGCTCCAATTCTGGATATTTGTTCCTATACATTACGGAAGTCATGGGATCTGGCCCTTCCAGGTGAGGCGGTCTCTTACTGCCTTGCAGTGGGTGCTGGAAGGTGCTTTCCTAGCCGTACCAAGCTTTTCAGGTTTGACTCGGTCTCAGGAACTCTCTCTCTTCTATTTTATTTGATGTATTACTATCAATTTCAATTAGATTATATGATATCGTATTATCTTGCATTCTGCTATCATAGTTAATAAAATAAGTTTTCCTCCATAGACCATTGCTGCTGTTGTTTTTTTTTTCCTTCCTTGAGCCCAGCTCCCATTTCTCTATCCCTTTTTCCTTTGCCTTCCCGTTTTGTGGGGCCGGGTGGGCACAGGGGCCCACTGCCCTCCTGTCACAGACATAGATTGATCTAGTTAACTCCAGGACAGATTTTTAAGGGTTTTTATATGATTTTAGAGAGACTTAATAAGAGGGAAATGCTGAAAAATCTCTTCTGTGATACTATGATAAGAGGAGAAGGACAGCAGGTGTTAAATTTCTTTAAAGCAATATTTTAAATTATTTTTACTCCTAAACTAATAGATTTACATGGAAATGATCAGAAAGTTCATTCTGCACTCAGCAACACACGTGCTGTTTTTTTATACATAACAATGAGGCCAAATCCTCAGTTCAGTCTTAATTAGAAAGCAGTAATTAGTGCTTCTATAGTGTTTTGTTTTCTGGATATAGTGGGCAGAAAGGGGTATAATAATTAATGCCATACTACCGTGAAAGATGATCAATTTCTGGAAAAGGTCAGTGAAGTGAGTCCAAGAGAGGATTAAGCTGTAAGAAGAATCAGCTTACATTTATGAAATCACAGAACAACTAGAGCTGGTATAAGATGGAAGAGCAAAACATTTGCATTTATATGCTATACAGATTGATGTCTGAGTCAGTTACCATGTTTCTTTCCCGAACTGGCAATATATTACATTAATAGATCAGCCATGTACATTCTGAGTGACATATTCAACACTGACACAAGTTTAGGTCTGTAGTTGGACTTTCCAGCAAAATAGATTAACGTTATTTTTCTTTAATGACTGAACTCCATATTTTCAAGAAAGCACAAGAAAAATCTATTAGAGGGCCTCCAATTTAGGTCTGTGGTGATTTGTCTCTCTGAATTTGAGAGAAGCCAGGAAGAGGAATAATATGAGACATGATTAAAGGTAAAATACAGTAACAGGGGAAACCTTACTAGCCCTTGTTCCTGCTATAGCTAAGACTCTCTTTCTTTTTTCTTTTTCTTTTTGCTTTTCTTTCCCCCCAGTGCTGCTTTCTTGGGATTTATTACTGTAGGAGCAATAATAATGATTTGTGAATTTTTGCAAGGAGTCAGAGTATGACATGTCATATTTGAATAAAGAATATAGGAAAATACTGATTTTTTTCCAAAAAGACTTTTTTTTTATCTTGTCTCATTTGTGACTGCACAGGTAACAAATTAACCATCATGATTCAAATTTATGAGGTACTGCAAAAATAAAATTGGAATGTTTAGAGCGTTCATTCATATGGCCTCTATTCCTCACACTCTTACATGGATTGGAAGGGGTTTTGTGGTGCTGTTTTTGTTTTACTGATTATGTTTGTTTGTGATCCAAACATTAACTAAGGCCACCATCACTACCACCACCTCCCGACACTGATCATGCAAATATGTTTGCTACTCTTGGGACAGTGTTAACCAGATGCAACAGTGTGTATGAGTATTTGCAAATAATGGAGAAAAGGCTTCTCTTTATCTACAGGAAAAGATTAAGAATATTTCTCAGGGAAAAAAAATGCATTTGACACAGTGTTAATGAAATCTACTGTTTTTGTAGAAATAAAGAGTTATGTTAGAAAAAATTATTAGTATGGAAAATGATCACTAATGAAACTTTTTAAGTGGCCATTATTGATCTCATCTTTTGATTAATAAAGGCAAAAAATATTTTTTAGTTATTAAACATTCTAATGATGCAAAATATGAAAGCAAGGACAATACAGTGCAAAGCTAGAAAATTAAATGATCTTATCTAGAATACTTTGCATACTGGAGTAACAGAAATTGAAGTGTTCCAGATAAAATCGAGGTCATACATTGGATTGATTAATAATGTCCACAAATCTTTCCATAAGCATGCTAGGTATATATGAAAAATGGAGGACATGTTTCATAAATTAGCCCAATATGCCAGTTGAAATCTGTCATATTGCCATTAGGAGAACAAACATAATCTTGGGTACATATCAAAGACATGTGGCAATTCTGATGCTATGACTTAATGTGTTGGTGAACTTTATTTGGCATACTAAACACAAAAAAAAAGTCTAATGTTAAATCAGATTCAATGAAAAATATCCAAAAAAGAGCAGTTAGCATCATGTCTAGACCAGACAATCTGACATCATTTCCAGGTCTTTTGCAGGAGGATGGGAGGTCAGCTTGCATATCCTTCAGACAAACTCGGGGTCAAGATTAACATTTGGAGTTTGTTAAGTCTGAGAAGCAGAACATATTGTTTCAAGGTGGGTGTTGCAGAAACAGGCTACCCAGCTTTTGCCCAATTTGGAGTTCAAGCAGGTCAGGCTCATAACTAGTTCTGAACCAAATTTATTCTTAATCTAGAGCTGGTTCCTTGAATTTACAAGGTCAGTTTTGTTCCTCATGCTAGAAGTGTACAAGCTTTTTAGGCTGGTTAATGACAAATGACAAGCATTCTTGTTAGCAGATGACTGTTCTTTTGTGCGTGTAAATATGGATATTCACACAGACAGCAGCCATATGTATAATTGCTTCCTGTACATCTGTGAAGGATCACATTTTAATGTATGGAGTTTCTTTAGATCAGAAAAAGCAAAGATGTTTGTCAAATTTAAGCAGAAATAACCATTTCTACATGCTCCTTTTCAGTTCAAATTCTTTCTCATCACCTCAGATCTTATTTAACATTATTAACTTGTTTAATCATATAATTTTGTACAGAAGATACACAGAATTTTCAAAATTGACTTTTTTTTTCTTTAATACCAATATTGTAAATGAATTGTCTGTGAATATGTATTCAGGTATTGGTGTATACAAGCTATACAAATGGTGAGAATAGCTGTATGTTTGGAAAAGGGAACAAATCTTCACAATGCATATTTTAGGTATGGAAAAGAAACACTACTTTCCTATTCAGCCTTTCTTACATTTTCCTAATTGTGTTTCTTCTAGGTATATTTACTGTTTTCAGCTGTTGTTTTTCTTTGTTCTAAAAAAATGAGTTTCTAAAATGAAGGCTTTAGAGAAAAAAAAAAAAAAAAACAACAACCCCAAACCAGAACATTCTAAATTGGGCAGACAGAGTTATCTTAAAGTTTTACTCTAATTTATGACTGCTTAGACTAAAGCAAACATTTACCAGTTTTCCTATTGAAAACTCATAGATAGACTGCAAAATGTGACAAAGCCTTAATGTTTTTTTGGGGACGTGCCAGGCCTAGACATGACCAAGAAGTAGTTTTTGTGCCTGCATTAGAGAAAAAAGATTACCCCTTACCACACTGAAACCATTCATGGCTCCTGAAGCAAGAGGTTTACATTCCC